CACCCCCGGACCCAGGGCTCCACCACTTACTCTTTCAGTGACCTAAGGCAAGTTTCTCTCTCTCTAAGCCTCAGTTTCCTCATCTGTGACATGGTACCTGACATTCCGGTTTGCCATGTGTCTTGTAAAATGTATAGGGCCCTGCAGACATCGAAATCAGAAGCCTCCACCCAGACCAATAAGCCACCGGCACGAGCAGACCCTCCTGTAACCACACATTTAGTCGTTAGTGCCATGCTGCTAAGAGGTGACTCTTGGAACCTGAGGGTGGCAGGAAGCGAAGAGGTCCTATTAAATTTAAAAGCTCATTCCCCTGATGCGGCAGTCCACCTCTAGGGACCTGGTCTGCAGGAACACTCCAGCTGCTGAACAGATCACAGAAAAGTGGCCACTAGCTTTGTTTAAAGAGCGAAAAAACAGAAACAATCCAAATGTGCCCCAATATGAAATTAAAATATGAAATTATAATGCACTGAGCCATGAAATCTATAGTCACTAGAGAACGAGATGAACTTCCAATTACTGATATAGAAAAGCACCCAAAATACCCTGTTCTGGCAAAAAAAAAAAAAAAGTTGTTCAATACCATGCATGAGGATACTGTAATAAAGATAAATACGGTAACCCCCGATCCACAGGAAATACATCCCAAGGCCCTCTGCCTGACACCAAAGATAGCAGCCAACCCTACATGTACTTTGTCCTAAACATACACATGATATTTAGTTTATCAATTAGACACAGTAAGGTATTAGTACTTAATAATTATAACAACATTCTGTGGTAGCGGTCGTGTGGAGGTGGCCACTCGTTTCAGGCGGCCCCTTGACGGGCCTCCCTACAGGCCCGGGGCACGCGGCTCAGTGGGGACGTTTCCTGTGTCTTCCACCCACAAGTCCAACGCCTTTTCCACCCTCCGCGGGGGGCGCCCTGGCCGCGCCAACCCCAGCCTCGCCCTCCTTCGCAATTGCAGGTGTAAGATGTTCTCCCCGGAGAGCCTGGCGGCCGGCGATTTCCTTCCTAGTTGGGTGAACTTTCCCTTCTCCGCGTAGACTCCGTCTTAGAGGCACTTTCCGGCTTCCCTGTGGCCGAACCCCAGCATCGCTGCTCCTGCGCTCTGGGGCCGTGAGCTGAAGAGGGGGCCCGAGCATGAGCACTGCGCACGGGACAGGCTCGAGGTCACCGGCAGCGCCGTGCGGGGGCTGGGCGGGACGGCGCACCTCGGGCGGGAAAGGCGGCACCGGTGGCACAGTAACACCTCTGAACTGCTGCCCGGCAGCTCGGCGGGTCAGAGTCCTCCGCCAAGCTCGCAGGGCCCATCCCGTCGGGCCGCACGGGAGCCACCGGGGGCGCAGAAATACGTGACACAACAAATCGAGGTTTCCCTCCCGCCCTCTNGGGCCCATCCCGTCGGGCCGCACGGGAGCCACCGGGGGCGCAGAAATACGTGACACAACAAATCGAGGTTTCCCTCCCACCCTCTCTCAAAGAAATCTATTTTTAAAAATTTTTAATAAACCCTATGATTTATTTCTGGAACCTTCCATTTAATATTTTTGGACCACCGTTGACCACGGGATAAGACGTTGCAGGTAACTGGAACCGCGGGAAGCAAACCTCAGATAAGCGGAGGCTGCGTAGACGTCCACAAACACGAAAAGCAATGGTTTCGAAAGGGGAGGAGGCAATATCACAGAGAGTTTCTTTTTACAATTACATTTCAAAGGAACAGAAACGCTCTTAGGAAACACGAAATTAAAGCAAGCAAAGAACAGTCTCAAAGGCCTTGAAGTGTTAGGCGATCAGAGACACCCCACGCTGGTAACGACACACGGATCACAAAACAGGGGTTTTAAATATAAACTTTATTTTAAATTTAAAGGAAAACTGAATTTTTTACAAATTATATCAACGCTTAAGACATAATTTGGGAACGTTGAACAGTAATAATTCTTAATTCAAAATCATGACACGTCCTGGTGTTGGCTAACATCTTTATAAGCGTAACCATTTAATCCTTCCTAAAATTCAATGATTGATTAAACTTTATAAGGTTAAACCAGTCTTCTGTGTAAAACCCCATACAACTTTTTGAAATATAATACATTCACACCAGCAAGGAAACGATAAAAACCTATATAAATTATACATGCTGATTAAAGATACAGACCGGTGCATGTCACTGTAGCACACAAAATACGCAGTCGGGTCTAGAACCCACCGCCTTCTCTTACACAGCACACTGCATGATTACAAATCTCACCTATTATGTGTGAACTAAAAAAACATATTTAAAAAACAGTCCTTAGAGACACAGGGGAGTGGAATGTGCCTGCGCTGAGAGCAGCAACGCAGAGTTTTAATGGGACGCGGCCGGCCGCCGTCTCCAGCGGGCCCCGCCCCGGGAGGCGCCGCCCTCAGAAGGACAGGATGGTCTTGTTGATGATCTCCACGGCCTCCTGGATCTCGTCCTCCCGGATCACCAGCGGGGGCGCAAGCCTGATGATGTCGCCGTGGGTGGGCTTGGCCAGAAGTCCGTTATCTCGAAGCCGCAGACACACCTTCCAAGCGTCGTAATCTAAAGGAAAACGGTCCACATGCCCCGGTCAGAGATCACGGTTCCAACGCCCCTCGCAGGAGCCCGGCACACGGACCCCGCTACCCTCGAGGCAGCTGGAGCTGCAGGCCGCCGGGCTGCCCTCAGAAGGAAGCGACTGTCAGCAAGCGCATCCCCCAGTCGGACCCCGAGTTCGATCAGACACGGCCTCTGCCAGCTTTTCAGTGACAAACAACAGGAAAAGCTCTGTGCTGGGGCCGCTGCACCCAAAGCATGAGGAGCCAGCGCAGAAAGCACCGGGGTACGAAACGGGCACTTCGCTGGCACAGGGCGGGCGTACCCCACACCCACCGTTGGACTCTCATCGTTTGAGGGCGTGATCGCGACCCGGCTGTGCGCTGACCCTGGGCCCCAGGCCATCCCATCAGCATCTTCGGGCTGGGGCTGGGCCTGGACTAACTTTTATAAAAGCTCCCGGGCGATTCTCAAATGCAGCCAAGGCTGAAACCACTGCTTTAAAAGCAAGTGTTACCACAGCAAAGGGACCCTTGTGGGCTACAAAAGATTTACTGAAACACCCAATGGTCAGTCACGTGGCAGCTCCGGTCACTCTACCACCATCTTCATCATTTATCTCACTGTGACCACTGTTCCCACGTCTGCTCATAAGTTTTAAAGTGAGAGAGGAGGCCCGGCCGGCGCGGCTCAGGGCTGAGCATCGGCCTAGGATCCAGGAGGTCGGGCTTCGATTCCCGGTCAGGCCCAGGCCCGGGGTGCGGGCTCATCCCCAGTCGGGGGCGAGCAGGAGGCGGACGATCAGTGACTCTCATCACTGGTGTTTCTCTCTCCCTCTCTCTCTCTGAAATCAATAAAAACATAAAAACATGTTTTTTTTTAAAAAAAGTGAGGAAAAAAAAAGACAGCAAAGAGGAAACTAAGGAAAATGCTCTATAAAGACTAACAGAAAATAGGTGTAAGTCTCCCTGCCACGTCACTAACCGAAGGCAGAACACAAATGTCTGAAAGGAACAAAACCTGGTCCAATGATCTAAACGGGCCTCGTGCAGGAAACGTCTATATTTTTATGGCTATTGAATAAATCAGATCATGCTCAGCACGAACGACCAGGCCCACAGGCGGCCGGCCCAGAGTTCCAGGAGTCCAGCAGGACACCCAATGGTTCAGCTCTTCCTATGAAAACGCCTTCCTGGCCGGCACGCTCGGCGGTTAGAGCGTCGGCCCTCGCGCCGAAGGGTCTCGGGCTTGACTCCTGGTCAAGGGCATGTACCTGGCTGCAGGTTCGATCCGCAGCCCCGGTTGGGGTGGGAGGCAACTAACGGATGTTTCTCCCGCATGACGTCTGTCCCCCCTCCCTCTCCCTCCAAAAATCCGTGGAAAAAATCTCCTCAGGTGAGGATTTTAAAAAAAAGCCTTGAGAAGAGGCCCCCCTCCGCACCTTTGGTTTCTCTGATCACAATGGCGTTCAGCAGCCCCTTCCCCCTGACGGCCGTCACGATGTCCGAGGGCAGCTTCATGAGCTCATTCCTCAGGAGGGCGCCCATCCGGTCCGCGTTGTCCACGAGGTTCTCTTCTTCCAGCACCTGCAGTTGACAAGAAACCCACCCATGTTAACGCTGCCGTTTCCTTACGTTGCTCTACGGAGGGGACTGTGGGCTGTGCGCAGAGCAAGGGCGAGATCAGAGACTTTAACTTCCATTTCTATTTTTCCAAGCCGATGCCACTTTCATTTCTAACTAAATTAAACACGAGCCAGCTCGGGCAGAACCTGGCTTCAGTCACAAGTCCATCACCAATCTGACTTTATGGCAAACTAAGGATTAATATTTGTTAAATGCCAACTGACACTTTCTTATTAGTTGTATAAATCAATGGACTAAATATAGTTTAATTTTTTAACTGTAATAGTTTCCTTTATTTTTTCCCCTAAGAAGTCCATTCTTAGAGATTACGTCATTTTATGGCTTTGGTAGGCACCCAAGTAATAAACCTGAAACTGTTCAAACATACACTTAAAAAGCACCACGCGCCAGCCGGTGTGGCTCAGTGGTTGAGCCGACCCAGGAACACGAAGCCGAGGTGCGATTCCCGGCCGGGCGCACGCCCGTGTCCCCCAGTGGGGGCCCGCAGGAGGCAGCCGATCGCGACTCTCACCACTGATGTTTCTCTCTGTCTCCCCCTCCCTTCCTCTCTGAACCCAAAAACAAAAAAGAGCGAGCCCAGCAGGCCAGGCTCAGAGCGAGCTCTAGGGGGGCCCCAGGGCCCACGGGACCCGAGCCCCGGGCAGCGCAGACATCGGACGCCACGGACAACTCCCAGGAACCAAGGCAAGTTACACGACTTGCTGAGAACGCCCTGCCCCTACAGTCTTCCCTTCGCTCTCCATCTTACTACGTTCCCCGCTGCACCCAGGGGCTCACACTTCAGCCACCGCAGCTCAGCCCACAGGGGCCTCGCCAGTCTTTACCTCGAGGGCCGCAATGGCCACGCGGCAGCCCAGGGGGTTGCCCCCGTATGTGGACCCGTGCTCCCCGGGTTTAATGGTCAGCATTATTTCATCATCGCACAGCACCGCAGACACCTGAAAGAGATCCAGGGCCACCCAAACCGTTTCCCAAGCCGTTCTGACTCCTGGCGTGCCAGGAACCAACACTGACAAAGCGGACAGTGAACCTGAGACCCAGCCGCAGCCAGCAGGAGCCACACGTCTGCCATCTCAGCGGCAGGCACAAGCGGCCCTGACCCGCCACCCAGACGCCCCAGGCGCGTCAACGGCTCAGAACAGCCGCCTTTCAGAGCTAAGACACACGCTGCTTCTGCAACCATGAGTTTAGAAGCCTTCCCATAATTCAGAACTCCTTCCACTCCCGTGAGGCTCGTAACTGCTCAGAGGACACGGTTCTGCGCTGCCCTCCAAGCCCTACGGCCCAGCACTGGCGGCGGGCTCCGAGGAGCACGGCCACGGGCAGAGCCAGCGCAGCGCCCCTCTGCCCTCCGCAGGACCCGCGACGTTGTTTCTGAACAACTGAGGAGAGCACAGGGTCCACAGCAATGCTCCCGGGGCAAAATGTTCCCTCCCAAACCGAACGCTGAAGCCAGTCCCAAGGCGCACAATTCTTCAGTTAACATTAACCAGGCGGGTCCCCCCGGAGCTCCGATGAGCTGTCGGGCGTGGTCTGGTGGCCTCCGGAGCACGGAGTAAAGCTAGGCTCTAAGGAAAGCACCGCTGTCTCCCTGGCCAATATAAACGTGTCTGACTCCGTGAGTGTAGGGAACGGAAAGAGAGGCCGACAGTCCACTCACCGGGTACAAGCCACCGGACAGCGCCTTCCCGAGCAGGACCAGGTCAGGCCTGACGTCTTCGTGATCGACGGCCAGCCACCTGCCGGTTCGGGCCAGTCCCGTCTGTATTTCATCCGCGATAAACAGAACCTATCGAAAAGCAACACAACAGCATTAACTATCGATTGAGGTTCCACAGGGAAATAGCCATCTATAGTTTACTTTCCCCGCACAGAGACTTGAGGAGGTGTTTTAACCAGCCGCGCAAGGTCAGCAGCGTGCGGGGGCCCCGGAGACAGCCAGGGACCTCCTGCGGCAGCCCCTCCCCGAGGCCACCCCGCAGGGCCCGAGCGGAAAGGGACTTACGCCAAGGGAGGCTCTGGGGACGGGTTCGGAATAGAACCGACCTCTGGAAATAATTCACTTATTTATTCCACAAACATTTATTAAACATTTACTTCCTATTAAATATTTACTAGCTTGGTGGGAAGCGGAGAGAACTTAGAAGTCGGCCGGGAGGCTCCAAGGACGATGCCTCCCCCTAGTGGGGAGGCGGGTAACTGCCGCCCTGACCCCGCCGGTGAAGCCCGGGACGCCCGCAGGTGAGGAGAGGGGCCCACCTGGTGCCGGGAGCAGAGCTCGCGCACGCCCACCAGGTAGCCCGGGTCCGGGACAAGAACGCCCGCCTCACCCTGGATCGGCTCCACCATGAACCCGGCAACGTTCGGGTCCTGAAGAGCACGCTGCAGAAACACAGAAAGACATTTTAGCAACTTGCTTTCCGGCTGACGTGGGACTCTGAAAACACAGCGCACATACAAAGCTTCCTGCTAAGAATAATTACACAAATTACGTTTTCACACTACATTATAGTCTGACTTCAAAGTATAACATCTGACTGACATTCAAAAACTCCCAATGCTTCAGTTTTAAGCGGTTTTATCCTACGTTTTCTAATATATGGTAAAATGTACTGTAAAAATGAAAGAAAATGGCCTTTTTAAAAGCCATTTTAAGTGAATCTTTTTATTTAACAAGCCCTCCACTCATAATTTTTAAAAGCTAGCTGAAAATTGAGTTGTATCTGGTAATTAAACAAATACTATTCAAGTTAATACTTATACAGGATACAAGTCTGAAGTGTTGGCTGACTGCCGGGGTCAGACCACGGGACTCAGTTTCCCCATGCTGGGAACTAACTGACGTGTGACCATCACAGAAATAGTCTGAAATCTTAGCCTAACTTAAATGAGATGGGTTTTCATTGGTCCCATGTCTGTGTTTAATTCACACATTCCACGATTTCACGTCCACTCAGCGTGAGCCACAGCGCGGTGCCAGCGAGGTACCTCGAGGGCAGGCAGGTCGTTGTACGGGATGATTTCGAAACCCGGCATGAAGGGTCCAAAGCCGTCGTAGCTGCTGGGGTCTGTGGAACTGGAGATCGCAGACAGAGTCCTGCCCCAGAAGTTCCCAGCTAGAAAACAGCAGTGCAGTGACCGTCTCAAACAAACATCCAAATTTAAACAGCACAGTCCCCCAAAAATCCCTCAGGAAGTTTGAGTTCTGAAATACCAAGGGTTTGCTTTAGAGTTGCCAGTGAGCTTCCACTTGTTATGACAAAAACTGGTATCAAACCCCACGGCCCACGTGGCCACCGAGGCCTGGCCTTGCCGTGGCGACGTCGGGCACCCGTCACTGAACTCCCACTGTGAAGTCCCCCCCGGGACAGACGCCTGCCTCCCCTTAATAACCCCAGGCCCCAACAGCGAGGCATCCAACACGGGATTTTCCAGGCAGTGCTTCTATGGAGATGGTACGAGAGACAATATCCTTCGTAGACATTTAGCAATTTTCCTTCTAAAACTCCACTGCCACAGGCGAGTCTAAAACATGAGTTTACGTATCCTCGGGGGAGCCAAACACCTTCCCTTTGCCTTCCTCGGTAGTTTAATCTCTACGTACTCAGGGACAGACGTCTGCCTCTGCACAGGAACGTTTCCTACCCATTAGTCTATTTCATTAATAAATGTGATTGACGCTGTCGGGGCTGTGCTAGGTGTTTGGAAAGACAGTGGTGACGGTGACCGGCAAGCCCCCTGCCCTCGGGAGCTGACGCTCCAGCTGGGGAGAAACAGAAACCGCACATACAGCAAATGGACGAGGACATTTCAACCGGGTTACACTCAAGGAAGGAAGGAAGCAATGCAAAACAAGAGAGACTTGGAGGGTCTACTACTTTTTTTTTTTTTAATATGTTTCTATTGATTTCAGAGAGGAAGGGAGAGGGGGAGAGAGAGAGAAACGTCAATGATGAGAGTCACTGATCCACTGCCTCCTGCTCGCCCCCCACTGGGCACCGAGCCCGCAACCCGGGCATGTGCCCCGACCGGGAATCGAACTGTGACCTGGTTCATGGGTTTACACTCAACCACTGAGCCACACCGGCCTGGTTCTCCTACTTTTTTTTATATCTTCCCACCACCCCTGCCAGCACCGACTCCACTAGCCCAGTCCTGAGTCACCGTGCTTTGGCTTCACAGCAGCTCTGAGCGCTCCTCCTGCAAGGCCCTGGCTGTGAGTAAGCCGCACCCCAGCTGCCCAAGGCGGCGGCACACTGGCTCTCACCAGGCCTGTTTGAGAGGAAACGCGCCCACCGGGCCACGAGCCATCTGCTCTCCTCCACCCGCCCTCCAGCCTCGAGCCGCCTCCCTCGCCGCTCGCCCTGCGTAAGAAGGACTCGCGGCTGGGGACAGACAGCCTTCGCGGTCCCTGTTCCAGACTCACCGGCTTCCTTCAACACGCGGGTGAAACACCTTTGCACCCGCAGCTAATACGAAAGAGACCGGGTACAGGCTACAAGAATGAAGATCACCAGAAAGGTCATTTCTGTTTGGCACAGTTACGTTCTCCTACGACTAAGGCACAAGATTCCAGGGGCAGGGCACAGAGCTGTGCCAAGTCTCCTCTTCAGCAATAACCTGCCCCCCCAAAACACCAGCTACGGCTGCCCACCAGTCGGACTCCGGATTCTGCTGTCACGGGGCTTGTAATGTAGCTTCACTTGTTCCCAGGACAGTGTTTCATGACATTAACTATCACCAGAGTGAATGCTGACCACGCACCGTGATAAATTTATCCATATTGTTTTTAAAATTTAAAATCAAAATCAAAGCTTTTCAAAGACAGAACCTAGAACAAGACAAGGGATTTCCACTTCCACCACTTCCACTCATTTGCTGCAGGCAGAGCCACTAAGAAATAACAGGTACGCAAATGAAGGGATGAAAGGAACTATCAATTCAAAATCTTTTTAAATATGATTCCCAAAGTCAGATTATATATATCCTAACTAACTGCTGGTCTCCCCAATCAGTATTCAAGTCCTTCCTCTCAACCATCCCCAGAAACACATCCAGGCAATCCCCGGCCTCCTCTCCCGACATCTCCTAAGAGCCTGATGCAACCATATGGCACCAAACATGAATCCTCACACCTAGGAGACGGCCTCCACCACCTCGCCGAAACGCTCGACCTCAGGCCACCCAGCCAACCCGAACGCTGCTGTGCAAGGGGTAAGAGCGGATGAGGAATATTCCATCAAGCCACTCATTCTGGGGAGAGAAAAGCAGGAAGTTATGGAGGAGAGAAAAATCCCGTATATGAACAAATATCTGGAAATAAACCCAAGAAAAGAAAATCTCTCAATTTTTATAAAGTATTCAACAAATACTGTATCATATCACGTATGAAGCACACACATTAGCAATATTTCATCAATAAGTTAAAATGGTAAAAAATAGTGTTTAAAGCACAGGGTGCTGCCAGGCTGGCGCGGCTCAGTGGTTGAGCGTCAACCTGTGAACCAGGAGGTCAGGGTTCGATTCCGGTCGGCACAGGCCCAGGTCTGGGCTCGATCCCCAGCAGGGGGCGCAGGAGGCAGCCGGTGACTCTCCCCCGTCACTGAGGCTTCTCTCTCCTCTCCTTCCTCCCTCTGGAGTCAATGAAGGCTTCTGCGGGCACATATGAAACAGCGCAGGGGCCGAAGGCCACGCACCTGCGAAGATAACCTTGGCTTTGTACTTCGGGATCCCCTTCACCGTGTAGCCCCACCGCCGGGCAAGCTTGCAGGCGGTCTCTCCGGCCTCCACTCCTACAGGGAGAAAACGTCTCCATTTTTAAATGTTTTCAGTTATCAGACGATACTGAAACTATTTGCTCGGCTAGAACAGAAAATGAATGTTACCTGTATTCATCGGGAGAACCTTCTGGTAGTTGAAGAGTTTCGTCACGTATTCTTCGTATTCCCCGAGGACGTTGTTGTAGAAGGCGCGCGACGTCAGGGTCAGCTTGTCCGCCTGGCTCTTCAGAGCGTCCACAATCTTTGGGTGACAATGGCCCTGGTTGACGGCACTGTAAGCGCTCAGGAAATCAAAATATTTCCTGCCTTCCACATCCCACAGGTAAACACCTAAAATATACAGGAAAAACAATTTTAGAAAAATCACAAAGTCCAGAATATATATAAAAAAATAGTAATTTTAGAAAATCACATAAAGTTCAAAACCTAGGACTGCTAGCACTGTGGTTAAGGCATGTTTTAGTTCAAGCATCATAAACTCTGGTCTATAAAGAATTATATTTTATCTGTGCTGCTTCAAAGTTAACATTGAACACGACCGGCGTAGCATAAAAAGGTCTGATAAACTCTAGAGTGGAATTTCACTCCCAGAAAACTAGAGTTTGTAAGTCAGAATTTAAAGGCAGAAGTTACACATAACATAAAAAGCCATGATCAATTGACTGTAACAGCCAACAAAACGGGAAATATTTCCAAGTCATACATCTATCTCAAAGGACCTAGTACCCAGCACTCTTACAACTCAACAAAAAGACAAACAACGTGATTAAGAAGTCGGCAAAGAACCCGGAGGGCATCTCTCCAAGGAGCACTTTCTATACGAAGCACATGGAAACGGCCAAGGAGCACAAGAACAGACGCTGAACATCGCAGGTCACTAGAGAAAGGGACTCAAACCACAACTGCAGCATTTCACACCCAGGAAGATGGCTAGAATTTTGTTTTTAAGGACAGCCTGGCCGGCGAGGCTCAGCGGCTGAGCGTCGGCCCGGATCCAGGAGGTCGCAGCTCGATGCCCGGTCAGGGCACCGGCCGGGGTCGTGGGCTCCTCCCCGGTGGGGGGCGCAGGAGGCGGCCGATCAGTGACTCTCATCGTTGATGTTTCTCTCTCTCCCTTCCTCTCTCTAAAATCAATAAAGACACTTTTTTTTTTAAAGAAAGAAAGGACACTCAGTGCCGACAAGGACGGAGAGAAGCCGGAACTCCCCACGGCCGGGGGGTACAGCCACAGAGCGAGCAGCCTGGCAGAGAAAAGTCCTGGTGCTGTGTGACCACCTCTCCCCATCTCCAGCGAAGCCGAGGTCAGTGTAAGGGAAGAGCTGAGAGCAGCGCCCGGCGCCTGCTTAGGCACCGCCCGCCCAGCCCAGCAGGGCCGCTGCACCCGGGCGGCGGGCGCCAGGACACTCAGCAAACGCTCGACTAGCCTCACCTGCAGCACAGAAATCAAAGGGCCCTGGAAAGCGGATGCCGACAAAGTATAAAAGCAAATTTCACAAAAGGTCTCAAAGCAAAAGAGAAGGGACTTTGGATTAACTCAGAACGTGCCTTTTCCTCTCTCCAGGGCGACAGGCAGGGGGTGGTAGTTGTGGGCGCCGTACTTCGCTTCCCGCTCGAAAACATAGTCAGAGGACACGGGGCCTTGGGCTGTTTTTTTAGTCACAACCGACGCAGCAGAGGCCACCGACGAGTGCGCTCCCCGGCGAAGCACGGCCACGGTCTGGGAACGAGCCAGTTTGGAAAACATCGTGTCCTTCAAGGAGCAAGGCCGCCAATCTGTCCAAAGAAAGGAGAGGGCGTCAAGGGGCAGAACCTCCCGAGTCGCGGTGCATCGGCTCTAAATGTCACTGAGCACGTGCCCCAGTCCACCACGGAATCAAGAAAACGAGCGAGAGCCCTGGCCCGTGTGGCTCGGTGGTTAGAGGGTCGGTGCGTGCACCAAAGGGCCTCAGGTTCGATCCTGGCCCAGGCGGGGTGAGTACAGGGGGCAACCAATCCACGTGTCTCTCCCACAGCAGATGCTTTTCCCTCCCTCCCTGCCTCCCCCTCCCTCCCTCTCTAAAATTCAATGGAAAAAATATCCTTGGCTGAGAATTAACCAAAAAACAAAAAAGGGAGAGAGAGAAAACGAAACCCTTGGGAAGCATGAAGACCAACAAGGGGAACAGCACATAAGTATTTACAGTGAAGCCCGGCCAGGGCAACAACGGGACGGACACAGCGCCAGGAGCTAGTCCAGGGCGGAAGGGAGAGAGCCGTGGGGGTGTCGGGGCGGAAGGGAGAGAGCCGTGGGGGTGTCGGGGCGGAAGGGAGAGAGCCGTGGGGGTGTCGGGGCGGAAGGGAGAGAGCCGTGGGGGTGTCGGGGCGGAAGGGAGAGAGCCGTGGGGGTGTCGGGGCGGAAGGGAGAGAGCCGTGGGGGTGTCGGGGCGGAAGGGAGAGAGCCGTGGGGGTGTCGGGGCGGTTACCTCTCACGGCACCCTCCGCACCACGTGATGGTTTGTAACAAACACACAGACACGTTACGTCCTCAGCGCTCGGAGAACGTCAAGGACAAGAAACCCACTGGGGGATCAGGCCCGGCCGAGCCACAGGCTGACTGAAGGGCTGGCTGCTGCCCGGCCTCGCAGACGGAGCAGCCACCCAAAGGTGCTCATGTAGGGGCACAACGGCCCAGCACCCGGGGACCCCCCAAGTCAGCAAAACTTCACGCTGGAGCTCGGCCCGGTGCCCTGTGACTCGGCACACCCAGCAAACCCGGGCGTTCAGGGATTAGCAAGCATGCGGGTGCCACACTCACCAGCTACCCGCGGTCCAGATGAGACTACAGACTGTCAACCCGAGATCCGGGGACTGTCTTCAGGGTCCAATAACTCCTGAAATAAAATGCAGAATTACATGCATGATTGAGAAGGTCCTTAGCTCCCAATACATTTTACCTCAAAGAAAACTATGTATCAACAACAAAAACAGCTACATAATAAACCTTAGACCGGGCCTGGCTGGTGCGGCCCAGCTGGCTGAGCATGGACCCATCCAGAGGTCATCGGGTCGCTCCCGGCCGGGCACAGGCCGGCTGCGGGCTCATCCCCAGCAGGGGGCGCCCAGGAGGCAGCCGGGCAGTGACGCTCATCACTGATGTTTCTCTCTCTCCCCCTCTCCCTTCCTCTCTGAAATCGATGAAGATATATTTTTTTAAAAAAAGTTAAATCATTTGTCTTTATTTCTAAAACAATGCTACTGTAGATGGTTCAATTATGTACAATAAAACATAAATATCTCCTTGTCTGAAGTGATAGGATCGTTCACATAAAGCAGCACAGCCCCATGCCATGTGCATGAGAATACAGAACAAAACTGAACCGTGGAGCCAGTAAGCAGGTATTGAAAGTAACTTCTGGTCTGTGAGGTTGTTTTTCTTTTCTTTGTTCCATGGTCCTTGCAACATAGGAATTTTTCCTCCAAAAAATGTAAATAATGAGGAAAAACATTTTAAGTATATTAACCTACAACTCCACCCAAAATGTGCACCAAAAAACTGGCCTGGAGCTTCCGATCCAGTTATTTAGCGCTGGGGGGGAAATGCTCTGCTGTCTCCTGAGTAATCAGAAGCATTCTTCAGGTGCCTAAAGGTACTTCTCATTTGTAAGGAACGACATCCAGGCCTCCCACTCACCTAGGCCCTGGACCTTTCTTTCTTTCTTTTTAAGTATGTCTGTGTTGACTTTTTTAATTTTAATTTATCTTTATTGTTGAAAGTACTACAGATATCCCCCTTTATCACCCTCACTGATCCCTCTGCACCCCCACCCCAGGCCCTCACCGCGCCATTGTCTGTGTCCCTGGGTTATGCCACCCCTCCCCCACCCCTTCCCTCCGAGCCTCCACAGTCTGTCTCTCGGGATCTACTTTGTTCCTCAGTCTACTCTGTTTATTAGATTCCACATATGAGTGAGATCACGTAAAACTGAACCAGGAAGAATCAGGAAACCTGAACAGGCCAATAACCACCAATAAAAATTGAAACGGTAATAAAAAAACTCCCAGCAAACAAAAGCCCCGGCCAGACGGCTTCACAGGGGAGCTTCCTAATTCTTTCAGTTGCAGGGTCAGATAGTTTGCTACAAATTCTTCTTGCTTTTTCAGGTATGCAAAAGGCTGCATTTTGAAGTTAATTTAGCCCACGCTGTGAAACACTATATTTTAAACTCACTCAGAGAAAAACCAGCATAAATTCATCATCCAATAAAAACAAAAACACTTAAAATATTCCACTTGAACAAAGTTGGCTTTACTCTATTTGTCAAATATTTACTTTTCTTGAGGTAACCATTCACAACAAATAGTCCTATTTTAAAAGTTCTGCCAATAAAAGTGTTGTGTCTTTTTATGTAATCTGGCCACAATTCAACTGAAGTGCGTCAGTGTGTCACTGGCAAGCACCTCGCGCAGGGCTGTTGAAAAAGGACTGGCTCAGCTGAACGACACCCTCAGCACCTCCAAAAACAGTCCCTTCATCACTGCTTAGCAATGCCCAGGCGGGGCCCATCCTGGCAAACTCGGGCAAGGGCAGAAAACAGGCAGGCGGGTAACGGAAACAAGGGCAGAGAGTGGGGGAAACACTAACAGGACCTAGGTAAAGATTACTGGGTTTCGGGGGGCAGGGGAGTGCAAAATTAACCTCAAACACCAAGAAAAACTGTAAACCCTAAACAATGAGCTTTTTAAAATTTCAGTCCTGTTTTTATCAAAAGATCCTTTCATCCTGGGACCCTGCCCACAGGCAGGAGCTGCTCGGTTCCCAGAAGGAACCAGGACACTCTAGTGAAGGCGGCCTTTCCCCCTCGCACGTCCGTCTCGGATGGTTCCTAACGACTCCGACCGGGAATTTGGGTCGAGAGCCCAAAGGACGAGTTTGCCCCCAGGAACTGGAGGGGAGCAATTTCTTCAGCTGAAGCCACTTCGTCCCAAAGCCGCTCCTTCCTAAGCCGCCTAATTTATCACAACTTAACCTGCAGGAAAAACCGAACCCCAAGAAGGTGAGAGAGAGAGACAAAGGGAGGCGCAGCGGGGCGCTGGGAACAGGTGTCCCCGAGTCCCGCCGGCAGGTAGGACGCTCAGCGCCGCCGGGAGAGGAGCCCACGCGCGGGGCCCACGCGGAAGGCCCGGCACCGGCTACTCCACGCGGCTACTCACCGTCAGGCGGGCCCCAATCCCCTAATTTTCTATTCGGACGAAGGCCGGAGGGGAAAAGAGAAGGGATGGGGGAGGGGAGAGGCCAGCCGGCCGGCCACAGGGCCCAGGAGCTGCCGGGGAGGCCTCCGTGGGCATCACCAGAGCCGCCGTCCCACCCAGGTCGACCTCGGGAC